AAAAAAAAATGTAACCTTTGATATGAATTACATCTCAACACCAGGAAAACAAAAATCCTCACCACTGGACCAGTAAATTTGATAGAGAAAAGATTGAAGTTGTCAACAATTTCACTATACTTGTATCCACAATCAATACCCTAGTAGTAGCAGTCAGGAAATAAAAAGATATTTTGCATTGGGTAAATCTGTTGTGTAGGAACTTACCAAAGTGCTAAAGAGCAACAATAAAAGTTTAAAAATAGGTGCACTCACTCCAAGCCATGTTATTTGCTTCCTGTGCCTCTGAAAACTGGACAGTGAATAAGGATGACAGAAAAATAATTGATGCCTTTGTCGGTACAGAGGGAGAGTACTAAACTTCTCATGCCAGAAGAACAAACAAGTCTGTCTTGGAGAAAGAGCAACCAGGTTGCTTCTTAGAAGTAAGAATGGTAAAACTTTGCCTCCTGCCTTTAGGCATTTGTCAAGAAGTGCCAGCACTTGGAAAAAGACATCATGCTTGGAAAGGTAGAGGATCAGTGGAGGAGTGAAAGACCTTCAATGAGATGGATTGACACAGTGAATCTAACAGTGAGCTGGAGCATGTCAGAGATCATGAGGACGGAAAAGGATAAGTCACTCTGAGTTGTAGTTGATTTGACAGCACATAACAGCAACAACTAATTTTAGATAAGGAAATAGTCCTTTGTGAAGACAGAACTTCCTTTTGAAACATTTTTTTTTACCCAGTGACCTTTTTAAAAATTTTTTTTCATTGTTGCACATTTTCTTCCCTTCCTCCTCCCATCACTAGCCCTTCCCGCAAGGTACTTCGTATTTCAGATTGTTGTCATACATGTTAATGTCTAATCATATATTCCTTTTGGACAATTCTTCCCCTCATCAGTTTTAATACAGTGTTCTTTATCTGTCCACTCTTTTCCCATTCTCTCCTCAACCGTATCATGTCTGTTCTATAACAGCAGCGTCAATGCAATATTTGTCCTTTTGTACGTAGATATTTCTCTCAGCATAACGTCCTCTAGGTTCCCATGTTGTGTTATGTTTTACAAGTTCATTGTTTTTCAGTGCTGTGCAATATTACGTTGTGTGAATATACTGTAGTTTTTTCGTTCATTCATTTGTGATGGGCACCGGGGTTGCTTCTGTCTCTTTGCTATTGTGAATAACACAGCAACACACATGGGTATGCATACATCTGTTTAAGTCATCACTGATTTCTTTCGAGTATATTACCAGTAGTGGAATTTCTGGATCAAATGGTATTTCTGTTTCCAACTTTTTAAGTAAACGCCAAACCACCTTCCATATTGACTGTACTATTTTACATTCCTGCCAGCAGTGAATAAAAAGAGTTCCAGTCTCTCCACAACTTTACCAGCATTTGTTGTTTGCTGTCCTGTTGAACTTTGCTGTTGTTGCTGTGGTAAGATAATAGCTCATAGTTGTTCTGATTTTCGTCTCTTGGCTAGCTAGGGATTTTGAACATTTCTTCATGTGTTTGCCACCTAAATGTCTTCTTGGTGAAGTGTTTCTTCATATCCTGTGCCCATTTTGTGATTAGGTTGTTTACGTTTTTCTTGTTGAGGTGCTGGAGTATTCTATAGGTTTTAGATATGTCATTGTCAAATATTTTTCCCAGTCTGGATTTCCTTCATATTGTGTTGGAGAAACTTTTTGATGTGGATAGGGATTTGATTCTTAGAGGGTCTTATTCATCTGTTTTCTTTTCTCTTGGTTGTAGGTTTTTCAAGATGCTTGGAAGACTGTTTATGCTGTGGATTAGGGTTTCTAGAGTTCTTCCTAGTTTTTCTCCGATGATTTTATAATCTTTTGTTTCATGTCTAGGTCCTTGATCACCTTACATTGACTTTTGTGTATCGTGTGAGGTGTGGATCCTGCTTAAATTTTTTGCAAATGGTTTTTGAATTTTTCCAACAATATTTGTTAGAGACTGACATTTCCCCACTTAACTGATTTCATCTCCTTGTCAAAGATCAGTTGATCATATGTAGATAATCTGATTTCTGGGTTCTCACTTCTATTAGATTGATTTATGTATCTGTCACTCTACCAGTGCTGTCTTGACCACCATGATGATAAGAAAATGTGATGCCTCCTGCTTGTTTCTGTTTTTTCAGTAGTGTTTTGCTTATTCTGGGTCTCTTTCCATTACAGATAAAACTGAATATTGCCTTTTCCATCTCGTTGAAGAATGGAATGGGTATTGTATTGGAATTGCATTGAATGTGTAGATTGCCTTTGGTAGAATTGTCATTTTTATGATATAGAGTCTTCTCATCAATGAAAATGGTATATTTTTCCATTTCTCCAGGTCTCTTGTTTCTTGTAGTTATGTTTTGTAATTTTCTTTGAATTGGTCTTTTGTGTCTTTGGTTAGATTTATTCCCAAGTATTTAGTCTTGTGGTTAGCTATTGTAATTGGTATTGTTTTTCTTAACTCCATTTCTATATTCTCTTTGTCACTGTAAAGAAATCCAACTGACTTTTATATATTGATCTTATACTCTGCTACTCTACTGACTTGGTCAACTATGTCCAGTAGTTTTCTCACTGAATCTTTAGGGTTTTCTAAGTATACTATCATATCATCTGCATATAGAGATAGTTTTACCTCTCTATGCCAATTTGAACACCTTTTATTTCCTTGTCTTGTGCCTTACTACTCTTGTACTTCTAGTACAATATTGAATAGGAGAGGTAATAGTGGGTGTCCTTATCCAGTTCCTGAAACAGAATTTTAAAACTTGACTCTCAAATGTTAAGGTAATGACATTTATTTTATACATTGTTGTTGTTGTTATTGTTGTATACTGTCAAGTAGAAATTGACTAATAGTTGACCCTCCAGCAGATTTTCAAGAGGCATTTTAATCACAAGGGAGGAGATTGTTCGTCTTTCCCTCACAGAACAATGGTAGATTCTAATTGTGAGCTTTTGAATTGTAAGTGTAACGCCTTACAATTAATAGTACAAAAGGTTAGACAAAGAAAGGACTTACAGTTGTTCTATAATGAAATATAGATAATAATCTATTATGAAATAATATTTAGGCTCAGGTTTACATATTGTAATCGCTCAGTTAAGAGCTAGAGTGTAGATGATAAACTTTCTCATGGCTCATTGGAATTGAGTACTAATTTGCTTAAACATTTTGGAGTTCGGTGTTGAACCTAGTGGTATATTTTGTTTTGTTGTTGTGTATCATGGAGTTGGAACCAACCCATAGCTGACCCTAGTAAATCAGAAGGGAGAAGATTGATCATCTTTCTCCCTTTGAGCAACTGGTAAAGTCAAAACTTTGGGTTATCAGCGTAACTCCTTACCACTAAGCCACCAGAACTCCCTGAGTACTAGTCGAAAATAGTTCAGTTAGATTTTTTATTATTTCATCAGAATTTTTCTACCTAAGTGATAATATTGTGTATTTAAAATTTGTAGCCTCATATATTTAAGTATAAGTTTTCAAAGATGTTAAGCTGAGGTTCATGATCTATGCATTTCAACTCAGCCCCTTCAGATAATGTGGGTCCTGCCCATCAGTAGGATGGTTACTGCCATTGGAGCAACTTTGTATGGTTGTCAGGCCTGGAATTGATTAGCATAACTTTCAGCAGTTCAACAGACTTCTTAGTGTTAGTTTCTGTTTTCTGTAAATTAGAGTTGTTTGGATTGCCACTTGTTAAGTAGAGTCTTGATAAAATCCTGTAAGATTCTTGGTAGATAAACTAACCACAGGTGCACGGTTCAAATCCACCAGATGCTCTGCCGGGGAAGGAGGGGCAATCTCCTCCTGTACCAGTCATCTGATTTGACGGTACATGCACACAAAAAATAATAAAATAAAATTTAAAAAAAAAAATAAACTTTATTGGTTCTTTTGTTCTCCGAATCTCCAAATGCAAGTTTAATGCATATCCTTGCCATAGTTTGTAATACATGGTATGATAAAAGTGTATTTTCCAAGTTACATTGAATCTAATAATGAGATATTTGAGAATATTGTATAAAATAAGAAATTTTTTAAGTTTTATGTCATACAAACTATAAAAAAAAAATTCCACTGCTGTCAAGTCACTTCCAATTCCTTGTAACCCTATATTGACAAAGTAGAATTGTTTTATAGAGTTTTTATGGTACTGAACCTACTGAAGCTGACTGGCTGCATCTTTCTCCTGTGGAGTAGCTAGATTCAAGCTACCAACCTTGACCTTGAGGTTAGCAACCATGCACTTTTAACCACTAAGCCGCCAAGGCTCCTTATACAAACATTAGATGCATGTGAATTATGTTTTCCTTATGCTGAAGTGACCTGGTTTTGCCATTTTTGAGCTGACACTAAAAGTCTTGTGTTAATGTTTCTCAACATAATTCTTAATGATTTCTCACAAAGCAGTATGCATGAAAATCAGTGGCTCGCAGTCTGCTTACTTAAGAGTACTTGTAAAGTATGTTTGAAATGTGTGTTTACCTAGCTAGACTCTCTGGAGGGAGAACGTCATTATTTTTTAAAAGCACCCTGGTTATGCAGGACCTTTAGGTGCTTCAGCACTGGTATTTAGGAACGTGGCCTCTCTTGGTGTTGCTCAAGCCTTTATTTCCATTTTAGACCTGGTTTGACCCTTGTTGGGTTGTTTGGG